AGAAAGAGCAGAAAATAAAGCCGGCAGCTTCCCGAAGGGCCTGGGCCCGCAGAGCTGTGTTCCGGCCGCCGAAGCCCCTGGTTTGCTCTCAGCTTCTCCCATTTGCATTTTCCCCCAGAGAAAGGCCGCCAGCCGCCTACTCGCGGCGGCCTCAGCGAACGCCCAGGAAAAGGCCCGGCCTCGGGCTGACTTACCGCCACAGAGAACTTTCCAGCACCTTCCCCGTGTCCGTGTGGTAGTATTTCGTCAGGATCAAGATCACCTGTGGCGGCAACAGAAAGAAAAAGGCAGAAATCAGTGGGTTTCGAGGTTCTCGAAGAGGGATATGGTGACACCCGCCATGGGTCTCTGGGGTGTCAGCGGCCCCGGCCTTGCTCAGCTGGCATTCCCGGGGGACGCCGGCCACGTGCACCAGAGCACTCAGACGGGGGGCTTCTGTTCTTTGGAAAGACTCTGGGGACATCTCGGTCCTCTGAGGTCCACCCAGCAGCTGCCCCTGGGTGGGAATAATTCAGACCCAGCCCCGGACAATCTCCAGCTGAGGTCAAAGGGCCTGAGGAGGCGGCGGTCAGGGTGAGTGCAGGACACGACTGGCCGGGCTCCTAAAGGCGGGGCTCTGTCCCCTGGGAGACGCCGCTGCGGGGGCTGTGCTCGGACAAGGGCAGACACGGTCCCGAATCGCCACACTTTTCACCGTTGCTGAAACGACGCACCCCCACGGGCCCTACCTAGCAACGCCGCGTCCGCCGCGTGCCAGTGCAAAACGCTCAGCTGTTCATAAAAACGAAAACACACACGTTCGAGAGCAGCCCACGTTCTTCAAAACACATGCGTGAGCACCGGGGAAATGAGGATTTGCCCGAGGGGGTGGGGGGGACGGAGCCCCTCCCCAGGCACTTCCCGGCCGCGGCATCTTCCTGTCAAATCTCCTTCCACTCACGGTCCCCAGGAGCTGCTCCTATCACTCCCGTTGCCATGGGAACCCCAGGAGGTAAAGCGGGAGCACCCCCCAGCTCCCGGCACAGCCCTTAGCCTAGTAATTTGGGGTCACCTCACCAGCCAAGGCCATGCCGGGCTCCGTCACGGGAACAGAACTGTCTCTGCTCTCGGCGACCTGTCTGGCCGATCTTTCTTTAGCTGGTGATTAAAGCCGGGAAGATGTGAGGAGGGATGTCAACCGAGAGGGGACAGTGCGCTTTTCAGAGGCAGCGATGATTAAAAGAAATCCCGGCTGGGCAGTGCGGGCGAGGGCCCTCGTGCTGGGGAACAAAGCGGTTCTCCCTGCCAGGCTCTCTCCTCTGAAGACAGAGGAAGGCGGGCAGAGTGACAGGGCCCGGGCATGCAGGAGACAAGTGTCTTTTAACTGGCTGATTATATTTTATAGTCCTGCTGTTCCCAGGGGGCATTTCCAGGAACCAGAGTGTGACAGCTGGAAGGAAGCTCAGAGTCCATCAGGAGTGAAATCCTCAACCCAACATCTTTATCAAGCACCTGCTGCCAGGCTCTCTCTGCTTTGCACACCTTGAGGGTCGGGGAGCTCACCCCCTCACTTGGCACTAATACCTTATGACAGAATGGACGAAGGCTCCCCCTTCCGCCCCCTTCTGGGTGACAGTCTCCACTCAGGCCCATCCCCCTGCCTTCTAGGCTCCAGCCCTTCCAGGCCTCGGCACAAGCTGCTCCTCACCTGGGACCATCTTCCCCGCCCCCCACGCTAAGTCCTTGGTTAATTCTTATCAACTCTCAGACCTCGGTCTAACTGACACCACCTCCAGGAAGTCTCCAAGACCCCTCCCCTGGGTCCAGTGTCCCCCTTGTCCCTCCCCCAGACCCTGCCCTGCCTCCTCCCAGCACAGCTCACACAGCTGTTTCCACCCCTGGATAGTGGGCCCTTTGGGGGAGGGACTGGTCTTGTTTTCTGCCCCAGAGCTGAATCCCAGTGACTAAGGCAATGAGGGGGGGCAGAGGCGACTGCTCAGGGCTTCTGTTCACAAGTCACCCACTTCCACCGAGAGGCCATGTCCCCTCCTCACTCAAGAGGACGGGACCCACTAGCACCACCTCCACCCACTAAGCTGGTGAGCATCTGTGCCCCCAAGGCCAGGGCTTTGGGGCCAAGGCCATGCACCTGCTTGCCAAGGGCTGAGACTAGGAGCTGCCCAGGAGGGGTCAGCCACTGGGGAGCCCTGGCCGGCACCCCTGACTCCACAGTTGGGTTAGGGGTCAGACCCTCTGAGCTCCATGCACCTCAGTTTCCTGAGGAAGCACTCAGAGCAACGGAGAGGTGGCCCACGCTCACCCGGGCACACGGACGCCAGCTGTGTGGGGGATGCCCCGGCGTGGGCGAGGCGTGGGCCATCACCTCTCTCTACACCCCGGCAACGCGACGGGTGACAGGTGAGCGCTAAAGCAGGGAGAGGTCACACACTGTGCCCAAACGATGGAGCCGGAGTGTAACCCCAAGAATGTGACTTCGGAGCTGGGCCCTGCTGGCTAAAGCTGTGTTCTCGGGAGAAACTTCTACCAGGAGTTTTTTAAGCCCTGAAGAGCATGCCGCACCCCTGGGTCCTCGGCTAACGCTTCGGAAATGAAGGCGCCAGGAGCTGCTGTTCTGGGAGCTAGTGCGTCCCCAGAGCTCAGGGCACTCTGCTCCGGGTGGGNCAGGTGCTGCTGTTCCGGGAGCTAGTGCGTCCCCGGAGCTCAGGGCACTCTGCTCCGGGAGGAAGAAACGTCCAGGCCGTGAGTCGGGGCTGCTGCGCCCCAGCCCACCGCCCAGGGTGCCCTCCTACCCGAGGCGCCCGAGTCCACCGCCCACGGGGCGCTCCCACGCGGCCAGAGCGTCCGCTGCCCGAGGCGGGACGAGCCAGCGTCACCATCACTAGGGCCCCTCAGCTCCCACAGCACCCTGCGTCTCGCCTTCTCACTCTGTCTTCCGGGCGCTGGGGGGGGCTCCGGGTGTGGGGCCCTGGGAGCCTCCTCGGTGCCAGCTCGGCTCATCAAGACCATCCGCTCATCAGATCGTCAGGAGCCCCATGGGGAGCAGCCACAACTATCGCTCCATCTTACAGATGAGGAAACCGAGGCACACGGCTGCCAAGGGACTCGCCTGACACTGCACACAGCAGGCCGAGGGGCCTCTCCTGGCCAGTATGGGGCTCCTGCGGGTTCACTTTTCACACGCACACCCCCCCCACTTCGCCTGAGGCTGCCTTCCAGGCACGGGTCACGCACAAGCCCTGGCTCCTCCGGGTGCACCGTCACTCAGGTCTAGCCCAGTGGCCCTCCCCTTCCGCCCACCTGCAAGCTCGCGGTGACCTACAAGGTCCCGTAGGCCNCGCACAAGCCCTGGCTCCTCCGGGTGCACCGTCACTCAGGTCTAGCCCAGTGGCCCTCCCCTTCCGCCCACCTGCGAGCTCGCGGTGACCTACAAGGTCCCGCCCAGCTTCCCACAGTTTGTTTTACGGTTCAATTTCAGATCGCAGCACGGCCCTATGTCACTGGTGCTCTGGGAGCCCTCGTGCAACCAACAAGCTACGTAAGAATGACTTATTGATGAGGCCTCCCAGCCACGGCACACACGGACAGACCCTTAGACACGTCGGAGCTCGGGGGCCCCCTCCACCCGTCAGCAGCATGTAGCCACCCGTGTCCGTTCCTGTTATAGGTTCAATCATGTTCCCCCAAAAGATGTGGCTGGGACCTGGGACCTTGTTTAAAAATGGGGAAATGAAAGTGAGGTCATTCCATAGTCCAATGACCGCGTCCTTACAAAAAGGGGACATGTGGGCAGAGACAGAGGGAGGACAGCAGGAAGACACGGGGGGCGGACGGCCATCTCCAAGCCAGGGGGGTGCCTGAAGCCGCCAGAAGCTCGGCCTCAGGGGGAACTCACCCGTTACTGCGACCTTGGATGTCCGGCTGCAGAGCTGTGAGGTGATAAATGTCTGTGGTTTAACTGCTCTGTTTATGGTCATCTTCAGGGCGGCCCCAGGACACTGACACAGGTCCTCACCCATACTCTGGATGAGGACACTGAGGCTTGGCCTGCTGGAGGTGACAGCTGGACCCTGGCAGGGCTGGCATCTCCACCGGGGGCTGCCTGGCTCCACTGAGGATGGAGGGGGCTCCCCAGGGGCCCCACACTGACTCCCTCCCCAGGGTCCCGCCCTGGGCTGAGACAGGTGACAGCCCAGCCCCTCCATCCATCCATCCATCGCGCACCTTTCAGAGGCACGAAACCCGATGTTTAGAAACAGAGAGTTGAGAACGGAGCTTCGGAAGGACCCTATAAATCAGAAGCAGCCAGCAGAAGCCAAATGCAGGAGCGTTACTGATCTGTGGAAAATGGCACTTTTACATCAGATCTGTTTAAGGGAGAGTGTGCATTTTAATAGGTGGGTGTGGGTAGACTTTTCCACCTCAGCTGTCCCACGAAAATATTATTTACTCTCCATTTCTCACAACCTGATAGATTTTAATTTCACCCATCACTCCCTTTTAACAGTCACTGCAAGTAAAACTATTAATGAAATTACAAGATTCTTTTTTTTTTTTCCTGCCATTGCTCCCAGGTTTCTACTGGCCTTTTTGGATCTATTTATGGCCATGAAGGCGATCGGATCCACTGTGATGTCACTGTCGTACAACACACAGAGTGCTGGGGACCTCCCGGAGAGGTGGGGACGGCTGAGCCTGTTTTTATTTACTCATTTATTTATTAATTTATTAAACATATCTTTATTGATTTCAGAGAGAGAAAGGGAAAGGGAGAGAGAGAGAGAGAGAGAGAGAGAGAGAAACATCAATGATGAGAGTCATTGATCGGCTGCCTCCTGCACGGCCTCCACNTTTCAGAGAGAGAAAGGGAAAGGGAGAGAGAGAGAGAGAGAGAGAGAAACATCAATGATGAGAGTCATTGATCGGCTGCCTCCTGCATGGCCTCCACCTGGGGATTGAGCCCACAACCCGGGCATGTGCCCCGACCGGGAATCGAACCGAGACCTCCTGGATCCTAGGTTGATGCTCAACCGCTGAGCCACGCCGGCCGGGCAGAGCCTGTTTTTAAAGCAGAAATCCACTCTGCTCCCCTCCCCGACTGGCTCCGGGGCCCTCCCCAGCCCCGNCCAACTGGCTCCGGGGCCCTTCCCAGCCCCAGTCCAGTCCCCAGCACAGAACCACAGGCTTGTTTCTTCCAAGAATTTCTCTTTGGGAACAATGTTGTTACGTCAGAACAGAGGAGCCCAGGACAAGGCAGGTGAAGGA